ACTTGTGCTCGCTGCAGGTACGGAGGAATGTGTTTTGGTCAAGAGTCAGATACAAAGAAGAGAGAATTTTATGTATTTGTTTATTTATTTTCCTGCCTGTGGAATGTGTACTTAATTAAGAAAATATCAGTAAGGGAAAATTCAATGTTTATTTCTCTCTGTAGAATGCATATTTTTAAGAAATATCACTTTTGGAAAACTATGCATTTTTTTATAAGTATTTACAACAAAAGAAAAATTGTGTCACTTTTTTCATTTGAGGAATATGTGTGATTAAAACTTTACTATTACAGTAAAGCAACTTGTAGGCCTTATGCAATGAGTTTTGATGCTGTTCATGATTTTTCTTCGTTTTTTTACTGTTTTTAGAAAATTTACATTTTCCAGTTGTATCTATTTTATCAGCAACAACACTTAAAACTATTACAGTAAAGCAACTTGTAGGCCTTATGCAATGAGTTTTGATGCTGTTCAAGCTTAAACATTTCATTAATCAGTCAGTATAAATGTACAGTATTGTTTTATCATGATTTTAAAATATGGTTTGATACTGACAACCTTGGTCAGGGTAAGTTTAGGACAGTCAGTCTGTTTAATGATTTATGAGGTATTTCATTTTTAATGTATAGTTATCAACATTTGACAAGGTAATGATATATGTTTACATGATCAATGAATGCATTACATTAAACATTTTGATTTATGACAGGAGTTTTGAAAAACATGCATAATTCTTGAAACTGCTGTGGTAAATGAAAAGACTTGTCAGAATTAGCAATTCATTATTTTTCTGTAAATTCATTAACAATCAAAACTTGAGACTAGGATTATCTGATTACTAGAAGAAAGGAAGAAATAATTTTATTGTTTTTTTAGTAACTGTTCAGCTAAACAGTAGCATAAAATCTAGTGTAACTGCAAATGTAAGCTATAATTTCCTAATGTGAAATCTGATGAAACTGTAAACACTTTCCAAATTTGGAGTGATGTCCTCTTGTAATGTATCCACTTAAGTATTGCAGTCAGGTTTAACATTATCACCTTTCACCGAAAGAGGGCTGTTGGCATTATAAACTGGTCTATTTTGACAAGAAGCGTGGAGTTGTTGTTGACTGCATCGGGGTTGCGAGTGTGTATTTTGAAAATTATTCATATTAAAATATTTTGCATGTGTGGTAGCTAGAGGATGGTATAAGATGTAGTGAGTTCATGCATATGAAATATTCTGCTTTTTGGAACCTGAATGATGTAACTTATAAATATTTCTATAGTAGCAATGTTTTTTTTGGTAAAAAGAGATTAGAATTAGGTAGTATTATATTGCATTGTCCCTTAACTGCTATGAAGTTTAATCTTACATCAGATATCATCATGAGAAACTATGTGGCATTGTTAGGGTTCACTGACCTTGCATGTACAACTTATGAAGAGATTGCAGTTACTTTTTGCAACATAGTGTCTTATGTCCTACTCCTTGCAATACTTATACACAGAAGAATGCCAAGATACTGTATTAAATTGGCCTCAATTATATTTTTAGTGATGATTGTAATCAGATGTCTTACCCTATTTGAATAAGAGAATGTTATGTAATAGCTGAATGATATGGAGATTGCTTCGTGTGAAATTAAGAGATCTAATAAGGGGAACCAATATGGAGGTCTCATACATATCCACAGTTATAATGAAGATATTATGGTGTTTACAAATAGAGTGAAAAAACAATACTTATGATTACCATTATGACACTTAAGGAGGATAAGTGTGAAGCAAGTACTAGAAATAGCTCATGTAAAGATGCAAATTTTGTGAACTGCAACAGAAACAAGCAACCTAGAATGCAAGAAAAAAGGGGCATTTTAGAATGGGGTTTAGTACACAGATAAGCATTTTTAAGATAATTATCATGCTTAGATTATGCATTTGACAAGGAAAGTGTTTGTTAAGAAGGAAGACAAATAATTATTTAAAGATGGTTAAGACTTAACAAATTCATAGAAGAATATTTAGAAAAGAAAGAACAAAGGAAAGAAAACAAGGAGAAAAAGAAGAGAAGGAAAGAGAGATGCAAAATAGAGACAGGGCAGAGGTCATAAAAACAAAAGGTCCGAATTAGCCACATTGTCTTAAAAGCAGTTAGAAATGCAGCAATGGTGTTGCAGTCTTGGGACAGTAGTTGTTTTTTAATCATAAGATGCAATTTCACAGATTCATGGAAGTGGGTCAATTTTTTTTTTTTTTTTTTTTTTTTCTTTTTTCCTTTTTAGCTATCTTTTTTTTAAATTATAGCACATTATAGAGGTTTTGGGACATGCAGTTTTCTCATTTGAGGTGGTGGCCATGCTTGGCTTCTGGATTCAGACATGGGCTTTGATGATAGTCTTTTTTCACGAAAATTATGGGCTTTTGATAAGGTTATTTTATGAAAATGTCAAGCTTTTGATAGTACACTTTTTATTTGTTAGTTTGTTTGATTATTTGTCTTGGACATTTGATAGGAAATCTTCAGATTTCCTTCCATATGTAGAGTATATCATACTTTATTTTGATAAGTAATTCGAAAATTTGTATAATTTCTATAAGTTCTGCCTTATAGTATTATAAAAGATAGAAAAAGTTAATTAAGCCAAAAAGATATCATTTAGATATTATATTGCTAGAGGTGTAATTATTTATGTATTTATTTATCTTTTTATTTTTTTTATTCATAACTCTCTTGTATGTGGTAGTTGACAGATGACTATCCAGATTACACGCATACAAATTATTAAAGTGATTGACAAAAATTTGATGATTACAAATCAGCTTAGTCTCTATATTTTAATAGATCCCAAGATTGTTTTGAAGAAAAGATTGAAGAAGACATCCCTATAAACATAATGATTAGAAGAACTGAAAAAAAGTGATACTGCCAAATTAACAACCTATTTTCCAACAGTAATCTTACAGTTTCATGGAACTAAAATCTTTGATAATTATAGATCTTGTATAAACTGTTTTTTTTTTTTAGGGAAAGAATTGAGTAACATGAAGAAATTTTTACGTAACTTCTTTTGCATCCCAGAGTTAAATGTAAATATTCTCGAGTTATGTCAGTTTATGTACATAGCATATCTGAGGAGGTAAATGGTGACAGACTCTATGTAAATTCCCAAGTATGCCTTTGCTCGTTTATAGCGATATCATTCCTCAATTCTGTTTTCTCTCAGGTCATGCTAGGTTGATGGCATTTGTGTCATATATATATGTATGCATATTCATATATTGTATTTCTTTTATTTATATGTTGTCTGTTTATTGGTAACTATATTTTAGGGGCTAACTTATTAGGATGCCACTCTGCTAGGTGTAGTACAAGGCACAAAGATATTTTGTTAGATATTTACATACCACTGTACTGACATGGTTACCTTGATTAGTTTTTGAAAAAATATAATTTAGTGCAGTTTAAATTTCTTATTCTTAAATGATCTTAAGAGATTATTTTTGTTGGCTAGATTAGTAGTAACCATGTTGATTAGATAATGGTATGCTACTGAATTTTCAAGATTTTGTAGGCTATGAGATAGGCATACGGATGTTTTCTGTATGCTAGCTGTATCCTGCTTCAGTACTTATATAAACTTAATTGAGGGATAATGCTGCTATAGTCACTTGTAATGCATTAGAAATGTTTGAAGTGATGATTATGTTATACTGTATATCTTGAGCTGTATTTTTTATATATAGGTCTCGTCAACATCTCCAATGCTCTTAATTTTTTGTTTACATAATGCTTTTAGATGGCATTAGTCTTGACCTCTGTATGACTTTGAAAATGTATTTTGCTTTTGCTCATATTTTTCCAGACTTCAAGTGGTTTCAGTTAATCTTGAGTTTTAGAAAAAAAAAAATTCACTACATTTCTTTAGTCTGATATGTGTAACAAATATTAAAAAGAATATATGATTCTTTGCTCTATTATAAAAGTTATTCATTCCAGTTCTGGAACTTTTTCTGCCAAGTTTAGATTTTATCCTATAGTTATTTTATTGATGTTTTGTGATTTGATGAATACTTTAGTGTCGGTTTTCCTAAGTTTTCTATCAAGATATACCATTTGTATAGAGAGATTCCAAAGGATTATAGTTTTGCATTTTTACCACAACGGAAGTGATTGTGCGAGTCTGGTCTTCCATGTCTCATGATGACTTGTATCACTTTTGCACTGGGAAGTGGAGTATTTGAGAAAGTGATACAATTGTCTCCGTGCTTCCCATCTTTACAACTTGACCCATGGACCATGAAATGTCAGAATCGCAGTCCTTGTTGTCTGTAGTTGATGAAGTGGAACAACTCAAGATTTAGGACTGTATAGTCTTTATCTTTTTGTTTCTCACACACATACTTGTGGATTTTGCATTGCAGGATGATTAGTGTGGGGTGTAATTTGGCATGTTTTGTTGGTGTATATAATGCAAATGTGAAACTAGGGTGATTATTGTGGAGTGAGCTGTATGCTCCTACATTTTGCTTTCACTTAAGTATAGAGAGTTACTGCAGGAAAGAGGAAGGGAAAATTTGGACATTCAAGGCTTATTTATGCCTTTTGAGAAATTGTTTCTGATTTTCTTTACACAATGATAAAGCAAAATATGTAGGAAGATGTGCATGTGCTTCATTGTATACACTTTTCTGTTGCATTTATCTTTTTCAAACTCTGATGGTATCTGTTCATCATCCTGAAAGGCTGAGTGAGTTTTATTTTTACTTTTTCTCTTACCAATTCATGGAAAGGTACACTGATTCCAGCTCTTTCTCATCATTGCTTTCATACTACCTCAGAAACTTATCTTAATGTTGATTCTTAATCCATCTTCTCCCCTTCTGTTACAGACAACCCTTCCCAACAGGGGAGCGTGTGACGTACACAGGCAAAGAATGTCTGTGCCAGCGTTGCCTCCACATCCCTGTTGTGGACTCACAGTCCCCCACACGCTCACCCACCACTGCCGGCCCTAGTGAGTACTCAAGTTGATTTTATTGGTATTATAGATTGTAGATGTTTGTTTTATTTTATATTGTTTTAGGGGGCATTAAGAGAAAAATTTGTTGAGGTGCATTGAATTAGGAAAGAATTTTCAGGAGTTGGTGGAAATTGTGATTTCTGGTGCATATAATGATTTTGTGGTTAATGTTTTTTGGGGGATAATGCCATTGTCTTATTAGTATTAGGAATTTCTTTTATTTGGAATTTTGGAAAGAATTTGCTGAGGGTCATCAGAAATATTGAAAATGAGGTGCTTTTTTGTTGTTTTCTGTTTAGAATGTTTTTAGAAATTGTTTTTTGAAGATTACACTCGGTGCTTGGATAAGTGATTTCTTGTGTCATACATGATGTATAGATTTCTATTTCTCTGTAGGATTTAGGAAGGACTTTCTTGAGGTTGGTGGGATGTTTGAAGGCTTATTGTGATTTTTTTTTATCATTATCAATATCCTTGTTGATTATTGTATTAGAACCTTATATTATGTAGATTATTTTATTTGATATTTGATTAATCACTTATTAGAATTGAAGAAAATGTTTTGAAACATGCAAAATGTGATAGGTGATTGCGGTAACTTCAGAAGAGTTCCTTGGGAATCATATTCACAACTAGTCCCGATAACAACACTTATGGTTTTCTTATTATGTCCTTTTGTTTACGAGAATTTTTAGAGATTGTTCAAAGATACCGTGTCTGGTGTTAGAATTAAAAAGTATGATGTTTGTTGTTATAAGTATTTTAAAATTAGACATTGTAGTGGGTCTTGGAGTTTGGAAATGTTTTTGTTGTTGTTGTTTTTTAAGTTCCAATAAAAAAAAATGAATACAGAAAATACTGATAAAGCATGAGTAGGATGAGAAAATCTCTTTTGCTCTCATGTCGTTCTTTTTTTTATTCAAGTTTGAAAGAAGTCATGCCATTAGATAGGCCTCAGTGCATTTTCCCACAAGGGATCATGCGCAATATTGAATGGTCTGGGGGACTTTTGCAACAGTACCTGAGGTCTCATTGCATTCCTTCCTGAGAGTTCTGCGTATGAAGGAAAAAGAGAAAAGGGAAAAGTTGATGAAGAAAAAGGGATAATGGCATACAAAGTTGGACGAATCCGCAAATCACACTTTCCTTTTAAAAGAAGAAAGTTGATGGGATGATTGCTGTTATTTTGTGGCTCTAGAACGTACCTAGATGAAAGCCAAACCTTGTCTGTTTCTTCGTTTCATTTTCTTTGTTCTTCCATGTGTTTTCTTTGTTATTTTCTTGCTTTTTTTGTCTCTTTTGGTTTTCTTCTAATGGTTTAGAAAATTTAGATATTGTCAGTCAGAGTTTGTGAGAGTGGTGATAAATAAACAAAACATTCGATAATGGTATAAAGAAAAATAAAGTGGTTGTTAAAAAGATACAAAAAACGAGAAAAAAAAGAAAAAAAAACATACATACATTTGCCAGGGAAACGAGACAGCAAAATGACCTGCTCTCAGAATGCACTTTTTATTTTTGTTTCCTTTCTCCCCCTCGTTATTTATATGGCATTCTGTTATTTGCTTTTTGCACTATGCATGAGTGTGTGTGTGTGTGTGTGTGTGTGTGTGTGTGTGTGTGTGTGTGTGTGTGTGTGTGTGTGTGTGTGTGTGTGTGTCTAGGAATATCTGCATGATATCACATGTATAATATGTGTGTACGTGTATGTGACCTACAGTAAGTCTGTGTATATGTATAGATGCAGCCACAGAGAGACAAAAGTGAGCAGAGATGTCACTCCCGAGCGCATTGCCATTCAAATAACAGTCACAAAGGCAATAAAGTCACACAACCTCCTCCCCCATCCTCCTCAACCCTCATACCTTCCCCCCCCCACTCCTCTCCCTCTCCGTCCCCTTATCTTTATCGGTCCCTATCCCCATCCCTTCTCCGCCTCCCCCTTACCCCTTCCCCTCCCTTTCCGATCCCCTCTTCCTATTCTTCAGCCACTCTCTCCTTCCCCCTCCACCCTTCCCCTCCCTTCCTCCGCCTCTCCCCCTCCCCTCCCCGCTCTCTGCTCCCCCCCCCCTTCTGAACCGTCACGTGAATGTGCGGTCAAGCGGAGGAGAAAACTAGACTAATGGGTAGGAAGAGGGAGAAGACGAAGAGAAATGCTAATATGAGGGAGGAGGAGAAGAAGTAAAGGAAGAAAGTGAGTGAAAGAGAAAAGGAGACGTTGGAAGTACAGGAAAATGTATGATAAAAAGGAGTAAGCAGAGGAATCGAAGAATAAAAGGGACGAAACGAAGAGGGAAGACACCAAGAACTGGAGAGAGGGGTGTAGAAGAGGGGTAGGGGTAGTGTAGGGGAGGGGTATGGGTAGGGGTAGGGGAAAGTGAGTCGAGATAGTCCATAAACATCCACGCCGTCTCCGCCCTTCCTTGAGGTCGGCGAAATGTCAGGCAAGGTCGGCTGGCAAGGTCACGTGGCCTCTCGTTGGCTTTCGATAGAAGGATCAGGAGGATTCGGGAGGTGAGAGTGTGACGGTGGCGGAGAGAGTAGAAAATCTCACATGTATGTATTATATTTGTGTGTGTGTGTGTGTGTGTGTGTGTGTGTGTGTGTGTGTGCGTCTGTGTGTCTATGTGCGTGCTCGCCGCCATATAGAACTTTTATTCTCGGTTTCCTGTTCTTTTGGCCGATTGTCACCAAGAGGAGGATTAGCGAAAAGATTTTTTCGAAAAATCTTTCTCGAAATCGCTCGTGTCTCGTGTGAGTGCGCGGGGAATAGCTGCTCATTATCCGAAATCGACGCCAAAAGACGGGGCCAGAGTCTGCACTTTCCTCGGTCTCCAGGTCGCTCCCCTCCCTCGCTCCTGGCCTCCTCCTCGTCATCGTCGTCTTCTTTTTTTTTTTTCTTCTTCTTCTTCTTCTTCTTCTTCCTTTTCTTCTTCTTCTTCTTTTCTCTTTTTCTCTCCTCTTCTTCCTCTTCTTCTTTGTTCTTCTTCTTCTTCTCCTCCTCCTCTTCCTCTCTTCTTCTTCTTCTCCTCCTCCCCTCTTCCTCCTCCTCCTCCCTCCTCCTCCTCCCCCTCCTCCTCCTCCTCCTCCTCTCTCTCTCCCCCTCCTCCTCCTCCTCCTCCTCCTCCTCCTCTTCCCTCTCCTCCTCCTCCTCCTCCTATTCTTTATCCTCCTCCCATTTTTTTCCTCGAATTAGATCATTCATTTTCCGAACGACCTTGATAATATGTTTCATTTCGTGGAAGATTAACGTGGCCGGAAAGTGCGGATTGAATATAGATATACTGTACAAGAAGAGAGGGAGAGGGGAGAAGAGAGAGAGAGAGAGAGAGAGGAGAGAGAGGAGAGGGAGAGGGAGAGGGAGAGGGAGAGGGAGAGGAGAGGGAGAGAGGAGAGGGAGGGGAGAGGAGAGGGAGAGAAGAGAGGAGAGAGAGACAGAGAAAGAGAGAACAGAAACAGAGAGAGAGAGAGAGAGAGAGAGACATACAGACAGAGAGAGAAAGAGAAAGACAGAGAAACAGAAACACAGAGAGAGAAAGAGAGAAGGAAACAGAAGCCCAAAGAGAGAGAGAGAGAGAGAGAGCGAGGGCGAAAACGACGACCGCCGCCGGACCGACGCGACGCCGCAGAGAAAGCCGGCCTCGTCGTCGGAGAGCGTCATGCGAAGGGCGTCGGGAATGCACCGACGGAGGGGAGGCGCTGCGTGTCCGTCGAGGCGAGGAACGCGGCCGCTTCCTCTTTCGGTTTTTTTTTTTTTTTTTTTTTTTTTTTTTTTTTTTTTTTTTTTTTTCTTTTTCCTTTGGTCCCTTTTGTTGGTCGGTTTTCCTTGCCTTTCTTTCTTTCTTTTTTTCTGGTTTGTTGTGTTTCTCGTTTTTTTTATTCAGTTTTTTTTCCTTTTTCTTTTTCTTTTTTTTTTGATTTTTTTGTGTTTTCTCTCGTTCTCTTAATCATTTTTTCCCTCTCTAGGCCTTTCCTTTTGATGTTTCTCTTTCACTCATTTGTCGTATTTTTCGTTATTTTTTCTTCTATTTCCCTTCCGTACCTTCCTATTTTATTTATTTCTCCTTCTCCTCCCTCTTTCGTCTTTCTTCCTTCCTTCCATTCATCTTTCGCTCTTTCCACCCTTGTAGTGTATATATATATTTATTTTCCTCCTTCCACATTCCGTTTCGTCATTAACTTGCATAATGAGAGAGAATCAAGACGGTATGAGAAGTATGAGTAAGAGCAAAAAAAAAAAAAAAGAAGGAAATAGCGTAATGACGAAAACGGCGCCGATAATGCATTTTGTTTTGACTCTGCGAAGCGTGCGTGGGCGGGAGCGCGCAGTCGTGCATGTTGCCAGCGCTTGCATCCGAACCGGCGCGTGCCTCTGTGTCGGCCACATCACGGCTCTGCGTCCGTGTGCACCGGCCATGTGCGTGGGGGGGGGGGGGGGGGTTGCGAGCGCCGTGCAGGCAGACGGCCGCCCACAGCCTCGCCGGCGAGCGGTGGCGCCCGCGAGGGAGGCTGCGGGCGCTGGGAGGTGGGCGGCGACTGAGGTTCTGGTGAGGGTGCGGGCGCTTGCCTATGCGCCCGGGGTGGGGTGAAGGAGGGCGGAGGGTGGAGGGGGGTAGAGAAGGGGGGTATAGGGGGAGGGGGAGGGAGGGGTATAGGGGGAGGGTGGAGAAGGAGGGGTATAGGGGGAGGGGTGGAGAAGGATAGGGAGCGGGGAGGGATGGAGGGAGGGACAGAGGGTTGGAGAGGGAAGGAAGAGGAGGGAGGGATGGGAGAGAAGAAGGGAGGAGGAGGTACCGGGAAGGGGGAGGGAGGAGAGAGGATAGGGGGAGGAAGAATAAGTAAGTAGGAGGGAAGGTGGGAAAAGTGAGGAGGGAAAGGAAGGGGATGGGGGATAGGGGGAGGAAAGGGGGAGGAGGGATAGTATGGAGGAAGGTGGGGGGGGGGGAAGGGGGGAAATGCGACTCGTTTTTAAATGATTTGTTTGAACTATTTTT